TTTTAAAAATCAGACCTCCCAAATTTAAAGACCCAATCCAAAAATGGGCATCTGAAATGAACAGACATTTCTCAGACAAAGGAGTAGAAATAGCAAATAAACATGAAAAAACGCTCAAAATCATTGGTAATTTGAGAGATGCATGTGAAAACAATGCTGAGTTTCCATCTCACTCCAGAAAGAATGGCTGCTATCAAGAAGTTAACAAATAACAAATGCTGGTGGGGTTGTGGGGAAAAGGGAACCCTTCTCCACTGCTGGTGGGAGTGTAGACTGGTGCACCCACTGTGGAACTCAGTATGGAGAAACCTCAAAGAACTAGGATTGGAAATCCCATTTGACCCAGCTATTCCCCTGCCAGGTATCTTCCCAAAAGAATTAAAAGAATAGGGGTCGGGGATTTAGCTCAATGGTTTCACCGCCTGCTGCTCAAGTGCAAGGACCTGAGTTCGATCTTCAGTACCGAAAAAAACAATTAAAAGAATCATACCACTGTGATATATGTGGGGCACAGTTTATAATAGCTAAAACTTGAAAGAGCCCAATTGCCCGTCAACTGGAGACTTGATAAAGAAAATGTTTTTGGTTTTTTTGTTTGTTTTTTTTGGTACCGGGGATTGAACTCAGGACCTTGGGCTTGCATGCAGGCACGATCCCACTGAACTAAATCCCTAGCCCAAAAACGTGTGTGTGTTTGTGTGTGTGTGTGTGTGTGTGTGTGTGTGTTTTATAAAATGGAGTACTACTCAGCCATAAAGAATGAGAAACTAGAGGCATTTATGGCTAAATGGATGGACATTGAGGTGATAATCTTTTTTGTTTGTTTTTGGTATTGGAGATCAAACTTGGGACCTTGTGCCTGCAAGGCAGTCGGCAGAACCACTGAGCTAAATCCCCAGCCCTGAGGTGATACTCTTAAGTGAAATAAATAGGACACATATGTATAAATATCAAACAGTTTTTCTGGTGTGAGAAACTGAAAATGTAAATGAGGACTGAAATGTATAACAGATAATGTGAAATAGGAAGAAAAGGTCCAAAGGGGAAAGGCAAGTGGGAGGTGTATGGGAAAGGAAAGAAGGAAAAGGAATAAATACCAGAAAATGAAAAAAATGGAAACAAAGTCTTTGTAAATAGGGAGGGATAGAAGGGTTGAAAAGAGGGCAGGTGAATGGGGAAAAAAATAAGAGCCAAGATGTATTATGTAAAGTTACAAATTTCCAATAATGAAAGTCAGCATATTGTATACCTAAAACGTACCAATAAAATTAATGAACTAAAAGAAAATATCACATCATGCTTCTGGCCGCTGCTGCTGCTGCTGAGCAAGCAGATGAAGCCAGCTGAATCAAAAGGAATCACAAGTCTCCCCAAATTTGCTTCCTGCTCTTAGTGTTTTCTATCTGCTCTTTGGGATTTGTGAACGACTGAAAAATACCCCAGCCACTGTCAAGATGTTAACATCTGTTATCTAAGTTGTCACAAATCTTGTCAACCAGTTAAATTCAAAACCTAAGGATATTCTATGGTCTTTATAACATTAGAATTATCTTTTTCTCTTTAAAAGTAGGCGGACTTTTGGGAAGTTCTAGGGTTTTTTTTTTTTTCAGGTTTTTTGGTTTGTTTTTGTAAGTTTTGTTCGATTTATCCTTGAGCTTCTTGAAGAAGTTTCTCTGTGCTTGCTTGCCCATAACTTTTTTGGGGGGCTGGTGGCAGTTGAATGAATTCAGTTTGTGCCTTCTTGTACGAAAAGAAAGTTGGGGTATGAGAAGCATATTAGTGAGCTACCAGATCCAGCTCCGTTTCTGAACTCCAGAGCTTTGGGATGTTCCAGAAGTGTAAATATATCACAGTGTTTTGGACTTGGTTAGGAAGTATATCTCAGCTAAGCCCTCAGAGCCTCTCCCATCCCACAGTTCTGCTATTCCCAAGGCACTGGCACTAAAGGTCAGTTTCTGCATGAATGTGTCCAAAGGAAATGGCACCCTGTTTTTTTCTAAGTGGCTTTCCTTGCAAACTTTCATCTTTGACCAAACTTCCTGTTTTAGGATGAAGAAATCAAGCCTTCTCCTGCTCCTCTTCACAGGTAGGGAGATACAGGCAGGTGTAAGGAAGGTCCTCTAGGGATGAGTAAATTGTCTTTTCATGACTATAGCCACATTGCACAATATATTTTCTGACCTTCAAATCAGATCCTTGCTCTTGTAAGAAAACTGCATTAGCTCACAGGTTGATCGATCCTTTTCACACCCGAATTTAGACCCACCCCTGTGTTTCACAGCACTTTTCAAGTATTACACCTGGATGCTGGCACAGGTCCCCACTTGGGACCTAGAGGTGAAGCAAAGAAACTCACAATCTGGTTAAGGAGTGACCCTTTGCATAGACTCCACAGTCCCCAGTGTTGTCCTCTGTATGGAAGGTGCAGTGGGACCAGAATCCAGGAAGGTTAACTTGGGAAGCTTCTAGACTTTGTGCCCAAGCAGACACTCCACAGGTGAGGGGGCAGGAGCTGTAGGAGGTGGCCACGACGACCATAGGCAAGGCAGCCTGCTCTGCTGCTTCCTGGCAAGCCGCCCTGTGCCCGGGCTCCTCAAGTTTTCAGGGATCTTTTAAATCTTCTATTGTGAGACAGCTAATCCTGTCTCTGAGACCATGTTCTCCAGTCCACCTCTATTGCTGTGACAGTGTGGGCACCGTGGAATAAAGGTATACTCGTCATCTTCGCTGTTCTGTCTGATAAGAACCTTTGAGGCTGAAAAGGAATGTGGGGTGAGGATGGAGGATGGCAATTTTGCATTTATTCTTAAAGCTTAAAGGAATGCTCGTTAGAATTCGTCAGTCCTAAGTATTCTCTCACCATGCCAAAAAAAAAAAAAACAAAAACAACCCATCAGAAAACCACTCCTCCACTTGGGGACAGGTGCTTCTAGATCAGATTAGAGTAGCGGCCTAAAAGACGAAGAAGAGTGAAACAGCCAATGCCGTGGGAACTAGGGTCCAGTCCCGCAAACGCTCTCCCGGAGTCCGCGAAGGGGCGGAGCCGGTCACGTGGGAGCGGGGCCGGTCACGTGCGGCAGCGCGAGCGCGAAGCTGCGCTTGCGCAGACGGCCCCGGGACCCGGGCGGGAGGTTTTGGTCCTAGGCTCTGTCCTCCCACGGGGAGAAAGCGGGTGGGAAGCACCTGCGGTGGCCGCCTAGCACCCAGCTCTGCCAGGCTAGTAACGTCCACGGAGGCGGGACCGCCGCGGGAAGGTGAGAATCCGGGTGGGGCCAGGTGGCTGAGCAAATGTCCCGGTGGCTGAGCTTGGGTCCCGGGTGCGACCCCAGCCCTCTCATGCTGCCCCGACCCCCTTTTCGGTCACTACGCGCCGCGGTCGGTGGCAGATCCTGCGCGGGAACTCGGGTCTCTGCACGGAGAACCTCGTCTCCCCAGCCCGCAGGCTTTGAGGGAGGCGGGTAGCACGGATATGTCCGAGTGGCCGGGACTAAGGACTGAGGAAAGAGTTGGGCAACGCGGGGTGGCGAGGAGTGACGGCCGGCGCCCTCTCCCTGAGCTTGTGCACGGTCGTGTTTCACGAGCACATCAGTACAAGTTTTCTTACGATCTCAGAGGCACCTGTTCTCCCTCTTGCAAAGGTTACAAATCTGACTTGAAATTGGAACAAACTCGAGGGTCAGTTGTAAAGCAGTGGAGAGGTGCGAGGATAAGGTGAACCGGGCAGCCTGTGCTCGGTGTGGATGCGGGCCTTCCGTGGAGGAGGCATGGAGCTCGCTAGGGGCCAGGTGGGCAAAGTTAAGGCCATCCTGGCGTCTGAGCCCTTCCCTGCCTTTGCACAGATCGATTACCTAGACTGCATCTTAGCTTTGCTTTTATTTTAACAAATCGTGCTTTGAGCCCAGTAGATGATTTTTCTTTTTAAGTGAAAGCAGTTAGAACTTATTTTGAAAAGTATCGTCATGGAGCTGGCTTGTTCAGTCTTAGATACTCCTTTGGTAGAGCCCTGGAAATAGAATTGGGATTCAGACTTGCAAACCCTGACTCTACGGAAGGCATTCATTCAGCAGAAAACTCTCCATTTTAGGCCGGGGATTTAGCTCAGTGATTCTGCCTCCTGCCTCGCAAGCTCACGGTCCCGAGTTCGATCCTCGGTACAAAAAAAAAAAAAGAAAGAACGAAAAAGAAAATTCCTCATTTTGTGTATAAAGAACAACTGGGGGGCAATTAATTGAGAAATAAGCATTATCCATCATGATGTGCTTTATAAGGTAGCTTACAGAGTGTCTCATACATTTAATCCTCTGATTCTTTCACCTCTGTAGAAGGAGATTTGGGAATCATTCCCATTTTACAGAAACAAAAGCGTCCAGGTTCACGCAACTTGTCAGAATTAGAGTTAGATAGTAGTTGTTCTTGGTCTGGCATTTCCCCTATTCCACCTTGTTTAGTTGAGACTATGTATTTTTGTTGAACATGGTACAAAGGACATTTCTGATGATTGCGCTGTCAGCTCATGTGTTACAGGGAAGGCTTAAGACTGGAATTCTAGGGTCCAAGCCCAAGGCTCTGTCAGTGTCTTAGGAAAAAAGCCAGTCTTCTTCCAGTTGGGTCCTTGTGGCGATGGAGTTGAGCAGAGGGCTACAAGCCTCGTTTGGTGGAGGTTTGTGTGGTGCGAACTGCTGAGTGGGGCTATGAAGAGTCAGGCTCACCTCTGAGCTCAGTGGCCTCTGGCACAGGGAGGTTTCAGCTGAGCAGTGCCCTTTGCCTTCTCTGGTGCTACTAATGCAGAGGGCAGTGTGGGTGGCCACAGGAGGGGCACAGATAGTGGGTTGTTGATTGAAAAACAGCAGTGGGGCAGAGATAAGCCAGGGATCCCACAGATGTGGAGCTTCTGCCCTAGAGGCAGCCTGCAGTGACACTGCAGGAGCAGTGGATCCATGTTTGCCCTGCTCCAGGTGCCCTGCCCTCAGGAAAATGAGTGAATGTGAGCCCTGCAAAGAAGATAATGCTAGCGCATTGCCGTGTTTCACATTACTCTTCACTGACCACATTTTGAGAAGCTTTGTTTTTAAGAACATGTTGAGGGACACAAGGGTGAGATAGATGACTGCTCAGAGTCACAAAGTGAGTTTAGGATTCGGGTTCTGGAGCCCAGTCTGTTGTTGTATCACCCGTGGCTTCCTGGCCACCCCCATATGAGCTGATAGGTGTAGCCCAGACTTGCAGATGAGGACAGGATAGCTGGATTTTGGGGGGGATTCTGCAGCTTCAGAGTCACTTCTCAGAGGAAAGGACCTCTCCCAGCCCCCACATGCCTCATCTTCTCCATGTCTCAGAGCTTCCCTGGTAGCTGGTTATATTGTCTTCTGTTCTGAGCATCTGTTTCAAACTTTCTGAATCTGGCATCTGAGCAGAGGCCTGGGCAGAGCCAAGCAGAGCTGAGAACTGGAGACTACAGCAGATAGGTGAGAGCTCATGCCAAGTGGCTAGTGCTGTGGTCCTTGAGGACACAGGGGGGTGCAAGAACATCTGCCATTGCCCACTGTGTCATCGCACTGCTATACTGGTATTTTAAAGGTTTCTCTTTAGCATCTAGAATTGATAGGGCCTTGTTACTCTGGGTAGGAAAAGTGCAGATCAGCTTCTCAGCTGAGAATGGGCAATGTGATCCTTAACAAAATATTTGGCATTAGTTTATAAGCTCTTTGCCAAGTCTTGGGCCCAGGAGAGGTTTGTGTTCTCTCTAGGCAGCAGATTTCCCAGGCCCATTCTAAGGCCAGACTTGGCTCTTAGCTTGCTTGCTTGATGCTGATGATCAGATTTCAGAACCTACAGGGACCCTTTATCTGAGCTCTAACCCCTACACTATTCTAGATTTAGAGATCACTGGTCCTTGGCTGGCTACTTGTGGCACCTGGAGTGTGCAGTGCAAGATAAACAGTCATAGTCTGGAAGGTGGGAAGGTGGGAGGCCCAGACCTGGGTCTCATCATAGCCACTGACAGCCTGTCCCACTTATGTGACCAGTATTAGCCAGCCCCATCTCTGGGCCTTAATTCTCTCATTTACTCCGGAAAGGAGGAGCTGAATTAGAACATCCATTGAGGGAAGAAGGGAACAGAGGAGAGGAGAATGAAGCATCCTTCCAGCCTTATTCACTGAGGGGCTGAGGCAGGGAGGCCCACATACATATACTGTTCTTTTGTCTCCCACTTCTCCTTTCTCCCCATCTGCCTCAGGCTAAGTCATTTTGAGGAGGGCGGATTCCCTGGGTAGGGCTGGGCTGGGTAGGTGTACCCTTGATGTTTAGAGTATGATACTGCCTGTACTTGTTTCAAACATGAATTAATCCACCCAGTCCTCTGCTTTATTTATTAAGACTTCAGCTGTTCCTGCCAGAGGCAACTTCTTGAACAGACAGGAGTTAGGCCAGGGAAAGGGGTACAAAGCCAGCAGGAGAGCAGTGTTGGTTGGTACCCCATTGCTTTCTGGAGTGCCCTTAGATCCTTGTAGCTGCAGTCATGGAATAGAGTCTAGATGTCAGAAGAGTTGGGATGTCTTCATTTCTAGTTCCTCCATCTTTACAGATGAGACCCGCTCCCACAATGTCTTTGTAGCTTGTGTCAGGAGCCTTTGCTAGAAGCAGGGCTAGGACCTAAACCTGAAAGTTGATGGTTATGGTTTTCTTTAATGTCAGGCCAGCTTTGTCCAAAATTACTTTCCAATTTCAGAACAAGGAGCTAAAATTGAATGGCTATAAGTTATTTACAACTACCTCACTGTGGAGGTTCAAGGGCCCTCATTAGACCTGTAATGTGTCTAATTATCAGGATTAATTATCAGGATGAGTTAAGATGGTAACGCCTGTCCTCAGACTATGCTACTGTAACTATGAAGAGACATGTAACCAAAACACATGAATACATGAAGTCCATTGGTGCGGTGTGATGGTGTGCATGAGTTCACACATCTGTGTACACTACAATCAGCAGTGAGGGAGCAGGCAGTTGGCAGGGCCTTTAGGAAAGGGTTTAGAGAAAAGGTGTTATTTGTGGTGGGCCTTACAGAAAGCTGGGCAGTCTTGGGCGCTGAGGATCTAGTGAGGCTGATATAGTGGTGGGAGCTAAGGCTGGGATGATGGGTTGAATTTAAGCTGTGCTGTTAATTGTAAGTGGGAGCTGGAAACGAAGGGAAGGGTGTGATCAAGTCCCTCTGGCTACAGCATGCAGAATAAACTGCAGAAAACCAAAGTAGAGCCCTGCCAAATTCAGTTCTGTGGCTACTGAAATAGATGAGGTATAAAATACAGTAACTGGCCAGGACTTGGACAGTAGCAGGGAGGTAGAGAGGATCTTGGATAGCAGATACATTTTTTAAGATGGACAGAAATTCCTGACTGAAAAGTGTGGGCAGTGAGGGCCAAAGAAGGGTTTTTGGCTTGAGCAGTTGGCTGAGTGATTGTGCTATTTTCTGAGATAGGGAACCTGAGAGGAAAAATTGATTTCAGTGGAGTAGCCACCAGTTTGGGACATGGTGCAACAGAGATACATTCAAAAAAGTGGAAACTTTGAGCCAGAAATAGGAATGGGGACCCAGAGTCAGTACAAAGATGGCATGAAGTACTGAAAGGAGCTGCCGTCACCAGGAAGGGAGTGTGAGTTGAGAGAAGCCATTTCAGTGGCAAGAAAAAAAAAGACTGGAAAACAAAGGGAGGAAGTGATGGTTCACTTCCTGGGCAAGGGGTGAGGAATGGGCAGGGGGGCAGGTGGCACAAGGAGCCATGGAGAATAGGACATCTCCCTTTGATGCTGTTTATGTGTCACATGGGCTGTGTTGAGCGCTTCGCTTCATTGGTCTGCACCGGATAGCTGGGGGTGTCTGCTGGCACTTGGGAAATGTTATAATCTGCATGACTGCAAATGACTCAAAGCTTTGCTCAACTTTTTGAAGTCCAGGGGGCCTTGGCAGCTCTCCATTTTGATGTTTTCTGGAGATTATCTGTTGAAAGCTGCAGGCCCCCCAGGGTTTCTGCATGGCCCAGTCCTGCCTGTGGAGTGATAGAGCTTAGGGACCTAGGCAAGACTCCAGAGCCCCACCTCCACCCCTCCCCTGTTGCCTGCCTGCACACCCTGCCTGCTCAACTGTGGGCCAGCCTCATTGTCATCAGAGGCTGGGATGTGAGCACTGCGGATGGTGAGTGTCTGTGCCCAGGTCTGACCTGCCCAGTATTGGGGATGGGGTCCATGTGGGGAGAGGAGGTACTTGTGAAGAGGCAGCCTAGGCAGGAAATGGAATGGGCAAGACGGGTGCGTATGGAGGGTGGTGTTGGTGAACAGTTAAGAATGTTCTGACTCCAAAATCAGCTGTTTGTGTTCGAATCATGAGATGTCACCAAGAGCTTTAGGAGTCTTTGTACCCCCCTCATTTTATAGATGAGAAAAATGGAGCATGGTGAGGGAGGCAAACTGGGCTCCCCAGGCCAAGCTGGTTGGTACTCTCCCTGCCTCACACCCCTCTTCACAGACCAAAGCTGCCTCGTGATCTTTCACTGTTTCGCTGTTGTCTGTCTGCTTCACCTTCTCCAGGAGAAGGAGGATCAGCCAAGCCCCACATGGAGAACTGAATTCTGCTGTGGAAGTTTGCTCTTCTGTAAACAGCCTTACTATTCTCTTTCAGAGAGACTGACCCTTTCCTTAGTGGAAGAGGGATAGAATGGGAGGAATGAAAAGGGACATCTGGCATATGGAAAATTTCCTAGAGCAAACACTTTGAATGTATTTGATTCATGACTTAATAAGTTGATCTTTTTAAATTCTCTAAGACAAGGGAGACCATACCCTGGAACTCCACAAACATACTTGTGAATACATGGTAAGGCAATGTGTGACAGCAGAAAGAGTATAAGGTCAGTTCCTGTTGACAGTGGTCTATGTGGCAGGTCCTGATGGCTATACCAGTGGGGAAGGTACTGAACTCTGAACCTCAGCCTTAGCAGCTGCAGACAAGCTGATCTCTGCATTACAGAACTGTTCAGTGAGTGAGCTCAGGCTGCCTATGTCAGGGACCCTAAGGAAATTCAGTGATAATGGTCTCCCTGCATCTCTTGTCAGGGAGCCAGATGGAGTTGCATGGTTCTGTTTCTACAATAGAGCTCCTCCTGCTACCCTTTTTGTTAGCAGGAATAGTGATTCAGGTGTGTAGCAAGATGTAGGGTTAGATGCTCCAAAGCTTGCTGGCATGGGAGGCCCCATGTAGCTTTGGGGTCTGGCAGAGCAGCTGAACCTATGTGTGCTCTAGGAATCCCAGGAGTTGGCTTTCACTGTCCCTGGCCGTAAAGCCATGCTGGGGACCCACTGAGAACAGCGTGTCCACTGAGGACCTGACTCTCTCCAGTAATTCTGATAATGCTCTCACAGCCTGGTGCTGTAGGACCTGAGGATGGGGGCCACCTCCCCAGAGGGATGACTGGTCACACATTCTGAATCATGGCTGGGGATGCGAGTGGGGCTTGGTGATGGAAAACACTCCTGGGGATTTTGAAGCCTAGATGTTGTACACCAGCTCTTGAACTTGAGGTAGGCAGATGGGAGCCTTTGCAGCATGGAAATTTGAGTTCTCAAGGTGCCTTCAGCACTTACATCTGCCCCCCAAATCAGCCTGCTCATTCCCAGGCTTAGTCAGCTGAGGCCCAGCCAAGCCATTTTGCCCTTCTTCCTGCACCCTGTGCCACCTTCAAAGCCACTTTCTCCCCCATGTTTCTGTGGCTTCCCCGACTGGCGCTCATCCTCCACTGCCATGGCCTCATTCATACTTGCCCCAGACTGCCTCACCTTCCCACTTGTCTGTCCTTGTGTGTCTGTATCTCCATGAGGACTGTGTATTGTTCCATTTCATGTCCCCCCAGAAATCCATTTATTGAACAGACCAGTGCTGAATAAATGTTTGAAAATAACCATTGAGTCTAGCTGAGTTGAGTCCCTTTGGGCTCATCAGCAAGCAGGCTAAATACCTGTGGCTGTGGAGGGGGGAGATGGAGCCCCTTGCCCCTCAGTGCAGCAGAGGTGTGTTGGAAGAATGCAGAGCTGTCAGGGTCTCTGGGCTTCCTGAATGCACTGTTAAGAGCTCTAGAAGTTGGAGCAAGTCCATTTGTAAGACAGAGGTAAGCTGGCTTTTGCATATTGATTCAGAAATGTTGACCACTCGTGTGGTTTTGAATAATACACACCTGTCAGAAATCCAAGATGTTTTTGAGGTATGTAAAGGCACAGACAGTGTTCCAAGCTCTGCAGAATCTCCTGTTTACCATAGGTTGTGAGAGCTATGATTTATTTCCTAATTGTCCTGTGAATTATAATCTAATAATGTGTAACTTTGCCACATTAAAAAATTGGAACCAGACCTGTGAAACATTCTTTCCTACTTGGCTCTGGAACTTGGTTGTCTGTAAGTTGTCATCGTCATCATTCAGTCCTATCAGATTCATTTTAGGTCACGTTTTGAGTGGTGGGGTTATAAGACCTCTGTCCCAGCTGGAGCCCCTCACATTGGAGACATCAGAGCAGCACCCCCTCTCCCAAAATGTGTATACTGACCTCCTCTTCTTTTTACACTGTCCTAATACATAGATGCCAGATTCCTCTTCCTCAGATGTTTTCTCTATGTGACCCCTTGCCTGGGGGTTCTTTTTTATCTTTTAACTCATATCTGAGCTTTCCAGGGTGATCTCAGGGCTACTCGGGCCTACTGTTTTCCTTCCCAAAGTTATCCCACTGATTGATTTTCTCCCATCTCAATGGGAGGCATCTATGAGTAGATGCCTCCCTCACAGTAACACAGATTTATGGATGGACCTTGGCTTGATCTTTGGAGAATTCTTACTAAATCTTAGGAAATCCTGAGAATTCTCCTGCTCACTTGAGTCTGAAGTTGGCTGGGTCCCCTCTCTTACCCACAGACCTATCCCCAGTGATCTCAGCACACAGAATCAGGGTGATGCTTAGGGAGGAAGGCACTGAGAGGCACCAGATGGAAGGATAGGTGTTGGAATCAGCAGGAGAAGGAAAGCTGGATGGGTTCCTACTGCTGTTACAAGGGTAGGATGCTTCCAGGGTTTCCCACATGGGAGGATTATCATTAGCAAAGCACCTGGGCTCACTTGAGAACCAGACTGGATTCCAATGGCACCTTCCTGAAACTCTCTTTCCCTTGCAGAGTCCCCTCCTCTACACAGGCACCTTTTGCCCAGCCTCTTCTGAAGCAGACACCCACCTGCTCTCCTGTCTCCCACACATTCAGCAGACCTTGATGCAGCTCTGTTCCCAGGGCACACTGGTGTCAAGCAGTGACCATCTTCACTTCAGAGAAGATTTGTTTTCTTGGTTTTATGTATTGCCTCTCTTTTAATTTTTTAAAAAATTTTTACCATGGAACTATTTTATTTCTATAATGAGTAAAAAATAAAGCTCCTCTTAGTTGAGAGAAATGTACTGAGATTGCCTGCCCACCATGTGTGAGCCCCTCCTGGGCACTAGCGGGGGCCTTGATGAATAGGATATGGGTCCTTGTTTGGGGAATTTTCAAAATAAAGAAGAAAAATTGAGTAGCAAAACAAATGTCATCTCAGAAAGCTGCCCCTACCCAGGGAGGTTATAGCTAAGCCACTTGGGTAGTGACAGGCAGGTATCATTGCGAAGAATAGGCAATTATTCTGCCACCAGGTTACTGCAGGGCAACCACCACCACCTCGGGCTTGAGGGGAAGGAACAGCAAGAGAAGAGCTGAAAAGGGTGTCATTTCCCTGGACTGGCACCTGACTTCCTGGTGAGCTCCTTGGGATGAACCTGCACATGCCATTCCCTGAGCTCTGGGAGGGCAGGTGCTCTGCAGCCCTGTGCAGTCTGGTCTCTGACACTGTGGCCCCTCCTCTGCTGGCTTCCTGGCTGTCCCCTACCCCTTCAGCCTTGCCTGGCAGATCAGATTCCGGCTGTCCTGTGGGAGCAGTAACATCCTCCTTCCTCTCCATCTCCAGAAATGTCTTTCCTCCAGGACCCAAGCTTCTTCTCCATGGGGATGTGGTCCATTGGTGCAGGAGCCCTGGGGGCCGCTGCCTTGGCCCTGGTCCTGGCCAACACAGACATATTTCTATCCAAGTCTGAAGAAGCAACACTGGAGTATCTGGAAAATATAGACCTGAAAACATTGGAGAAGGGTAAGTAGTGACCCTGCTGCTCCCAGTACTTTTCCAAGGTGCTGAGGTACAGGCTTACTTATTTTTTTCTTTCTAAAATAAATCTTTCTTTTTCGAAAAAGCAAAATAACAGCTAGGGAAATTTTAATACTTTTTAGATTACCAATCTAAATACTTTTTAATACCAATCTAAATTAATACTTTTTAATTACCAATACTTTTTAGATTACCAAATTAAACACTTTTTAGATTACCAATCATTCCATTACTCTTAATACAATCATTGTTTTTATTTTGGCCTATTCTTTTCCATGTATACACCTTGTTATATTGTTATGATTTTGGTATAAGTTGCTATTTTACCTTTTTATTTTCAGGGTCATTTTTCACTCTGTTGTCCCTCTAACTGCACTGATAAATTACTCAGTAATACTTAGTGATGCTATAACAACACTTAACAAACCAGCCCTTCCATGGAGTGTTCTGAGGAATTCCAGACTTGTGGTATCTCTCTTAAAAAAGGAATTCCTGAGTCCAAGAAGTCTGAGACTCACTGTTTGTCCAGTTCCATGTTCCTGATGCTCAGCATCGGGCCTGGTACACAGTAGGGATTTGCTTATTGAAGTGGGGGTCTGGGTTGCTACTGATGAAGTATGGTCAGCCCCCTCTTCAGTCTAGCACTATGGAACAGACCTATGTGTCTGCCTCCCCTGGGGACCCACCCAGAATCCATTGTAGTGACAAAGCCACACACTCAGTCATGGTTGCCCTGCCTCCACACTGGCTGTATGCATCATGTAGGCTGTAGCTCAGCAGGGCTCAGTCATGCCCAGATACACACTGGAGCTTATGGGCTGGGTGGTACCCAGGTTAGTGCTCAAGAGGAAGCCACTGTCATCTGTTCCCTGAGAGGCTTCTCTGAGGAAGGCAGAGGTGTGGTTGCAGGGACTCCTGGTAGATAACCTCAGTAAGGTGCAAAGAGGCCTTTTGAGCTTTGTTCAACCCAGGCTTTCCAGTCTTCTTCGATTACAGTTTCACTCTCTCCCTCCTTCTTTTCTCGTTCACATAACATCCCACGGGGACATGGACACATCTAGGATATAAGTAAGGGTTCATATTTATTGAGCCCTCACTAACTCTCTACAACTAAACCTTGGTGAGAGCACCAAGACCCAAAGAGAAAAAGTAACTTTCCTCTTCCCAGGATCCCACAGCTAGATTCTGGCTCAGAGTGACCTCTGAAGCAAGCTTGGGCTGCTGTAATGTCTTGCTTCCAGCATTTCCTTATTGGACATCATCTGGCCTGCTTTATTAGTAATAGTGCAGTTAACATACTTACGTTAAATTCCTTTTTTATTTCTTTGAATACATTTTTAGGAATGGAGTTATTTTGTTGTTGTTCAGAGTATAAGTCTTTGAGTTTAGAGCACATGTATGTGTTCCATAGGGTGGTTAAGTGTCCCACGATGCCAGCCATAAAGGGAATTGCAACTGAGCTGGAAATAGTGCAGTGTGGAAGATTCAAGTTTGAAAGTAGATTGTGGGGGAGGGACCTTTGGAGCGCACAGTCCACTCCTTCAGCTTTACTTCCTCTCCGCAGGAAGATACATAATCCCTGTATGTGTTTGCCTTTTCCCGAGTGTGAAGTGCCTGTCCCAGTCCTCTGCCAGGCCTCATTTCTGACCTTACCTCAGCATAGTGCAGTTCAGGAGCTGCTCAGGGGCTGGGGCAGGGCTGGGAGGAGGGGATGTTGTTTTCTATTTCTTCTCCCTTAGACCCAAGGACTTTCAAAGCAAAGGAGCTATGGGAAAAGAACGGAGCAGTGATTATGGCTGTGCGGAGGCCAGGCTGTTTCCTCTGTCGAGAGGTGAGTGCCTCTGAGGGTCTGTTGGGAGCAAATGATTCCAACAAGTGGGGCCAGAACATTTCCTGTGCTGCAGGCCCTCCTTATCCTTTATTCATTGGACCTTGAGCTGTTCTCTTTTATTTGCACTAGGTATTTCTTTTGGCATAGGCTCTGTTCCTGTTCTATAATACTTGCCATCTCCTACTGGGGTTGGCCACATGTCTGACTCCCCTTTGGTATGTCCAAGCTTTTCATCATGTGTTGTTTTAGCGTCTATGTCCAGACTACTCCCATTTAACCCAGGGCAGCCGCGAGGTCCAGTTCTGTGCTCCTAACAGTCAACACAGATACTGAAATGGGGGTTGGGCTTATACTGATAGGGACATGGTCAGTCTCCACCTATGATGGGGCAGCAGCACATACAGAAGCTGTTCAAGGCCATGCTTTGGAACAGACCTGCCTGTCTGCTAGCCCTGGGGACCCACCAAGAGTCCAGCATGGACAGCTGAGCATAGTATTCTCCCATCATGGTTGCCCTTCTGCCTTGTTGCCCCCTTACAGGTTTGCTATGCCAGTCATGCTGATGGCAAGGGTGCATTTGGCATGAGAGCTAGGAAAGAGTTGAAGGTCACTGACTGGGGAGTCTCCCGGTTGGCTTTTCAAAGGGAAGCCATTGTTGCCTGTGCGGAAAATGAGGAAACATATCAAAGGAAGGCACCTAGTGTCAGAGGGAACTTGTCACTTTGTGGAAGGGCAAACCAAGGGCCAGAGTGGTTTGGTGGGCTGCCCAGTTGGTAGCAGAAGCTGTAAGTTCTAAGGCCACTGCCTTGCTAGGAAGAAAGCTGGGAATGACAGTGCTCCTGCCCTGGAGGCATCCTGGTTTCCCAAGTAGTAGCTTTGGCCTTGTCCAAGTTACCATCCGCATTCCCCTGGTCATCTCCCGCACTGTGAGAGATCACCTCTGTGGCCTGGTGGTCTCTCCTGTTTGTGTGTGAGGAATCCATCTGCTTACATTGGCATATCTATGCCTGTTATCTCATTGGCCCCTCACTGTATCTCCAGGAAATACAATCTGTAGTTACTATTCTCAATTCACAGAGGAGGCAGCAGTGGTGCGTTGCTTGGAAGACACTGCCTAGAGAGGTGTCTTAATTTCCTGTTGCTGCTGTAGCAAGTGGCCATGAATTTAGTGCCCTTAAACAACACAGTTATTGTACAAACCTGGATGTAATTCGGTTGCATTCCTCCTGGTGCCTGTAGGGAGGATCCATTGCCTTGCCTTCTCCAGCCTCTACAGGCTGCCAGAATTCCTTGGCTTATGGCCCATTCCTTTATTTTCAAAGTCAGCAATGACTCATCAAATCATTCTCATGTTGTGTCCCTATGAAACTGACTTCTCCACCTCCTTCCTTCACATTTTAAGGGTCCTAGTGATTACATTGGGCCCAGTATGATAACCCAGGAAAATGTGTGTGTGTGTGCACAAATGTGTGTGTTTGCGTACACATGTCCTGGGACTTCAACCCAAGGACTTGGGCATGTTAAGCATGCTCTACTACTAAACCAAAGCTCCAGCCCATAGGACAATCTTCTTACTTATGGTCAGCTGATTAGCAGCCTAAATTTCATCTCAGACTTAATTCCCCTTGCTATGTCATATAACATATTCATACTTTCCAGGAATCAGGACGTAGATGTGTTTAGGGTCTTACTATTCCACCTACCTCTAGAGCGGAGTTTAAACTCAGGGCTTTCCATTGTAAATCTGTAATGCCTCCAAACACCAACCTATAAGACTGTTTTGACTTGGTCTCGTGAGATGAATGAAACCCAGAAGGTTCCAAAAGCAACACTTCTTGCTAATTGCATCCTGTTTTCCTCTGTGCTGGTCTGTGCTTTGGCAGAGCATTTTGTAAAAACAGTTTTCAAAGTGGTAGATGGGTGGCAGTCTGAGTTATCTGGAGAGACAAGAGGTGGAGGTGCATGACTCGGTTTCCACTTCATGGCTTTGTACAGTCACATATCCAACTTAAAAGAGCCCAGAAAAAGCAAGTGAAACTTCTAATCTTTGATAGATGGTCTTTGACCACATCAAACACTGTAGTCTTCCTCTCTGCTCTCTGGCAAAATTTCTACTCACAGAAACTCTTGATAAATACATTATAATTAATTCTCCTGCGCGCGCTATCTTTTCTTTCCTGTTCTAGAAAGTAATGAAAAATTAAGTGCAGTTGCCAACAGAGCAACACATTTGTATTGGAGGTGAGCAGGCTCCATTTAAAAGGACTTCCTGCTGATTCTTTAATTCTGACACCTAATGTAAAAAGGGAATTTATTGTTAAGGTTGAAGCTTTACCATAACTCATGCGGTATTATTTATTCATCCAGCACACAGTTCATGAAGATCAGGGACGCCTGTACCATTCAGCTCAGCTGCATTCTCCCCATTGTCCACCTTCAAATCCTTCCACCTGGTCTTTATACCCTCTCTGTACCTAGGCATGTGCTAGACACTGAGAGGTCCAAGAAATGGAAGACTCAGTTTCTGACTATGGGACACATCAGGAATTTAATGACAATATTCAACTTAGTGGTAACACCCAGACTCTGCACAAAAAGTTGCCAAGCAGGGAATATAGGAATGCAGAAAAGCTGGGCCTACTGTCCAGGGAGATCTTTCTAGACCAGAGGGCAGGTTTGAGGTGGAGAGAGATGGAAGATTATACCAGGGGAGGGGAGCCCCTTGGGACAGCAGTATGGCACCCATGGTCACATGGCCTGCATGACATCTGTCATGGGTCCTTGTGCCAGTTTGGCCTAGTGCAGGAGAGGGGCTGGGAAGTAAGGTGGCAGAAAAGTGCAAGGCTGAGAGTGAAGAACCTGCTGGGATACAGCTTCCCAGTCATGACTGTTCCCATGCTGCAGTTGGGACACCCACAGAAGCCCCGCTCTCCTTCCCAAAATGAGTCACCTGCCCTGAGGAGGGCACCTGACACCCAATCAGGAAGCTGGAGCCCAACTGGAACAGGTACATGCTGGGCTTCCTGGACCTGAACTGTCTGATGTTTCATTGCCCCTGTTCCTCTACCTGCAGAACCAGCAATACTCTGGCCAGTAAGGAGGAGAGGTGCATTGTTGGCCACAGAGCCCCAGAATTTCATGCCCATGAAGCTGAACCCCTTCTCTTCCTCAGGAAGCTGCAGACCTGTCCTCCCTGAAACCCAAGCTGGACAAACTGGGCATCCCCCTCTATGCTGTGGTGAAAGAGCAAGTTGGCACTGAAGTGAAGGACTTCCAGCCTTATTTCAAAGGAGAAATCTTCCTGGATGCACAGGTGCATGTGCTGTGGCTGGTGGGAACTGTCTTGGCGTGGAGTGTTGGGTGGCTCAGTCTGTGTCTGGCTGAATCTGTGGGCTGGTCCCCCTTCTGCTGCCCTGAGCTTCCAGAGGGCTCACCAGCCCTTAGAGTAGGCCATCCTCTTGCTTATCACTGGAGCCCTTTCCTGCAGTATTATCCAGGAGGGTGGGAAGTAGGTGAAAACTCATCAGGTTCCCAACATGCACATGGGAGTCCTGGCACAAACTTCCAACCCTTGGTTCATTGAACCTGTATTTTTCTTCTCTAGTTCACCCAGTGTAGGATGTAGCACTGTTGTAAGTGTAAGAACAGTGAGAGGTTGAAGCTGTAGCTCAGTGCTTGCCTGGTGTGTATGAGGCCCTGAGTTCCATCTCCAGCACTGTGAAATAATAATAATCATAACAACTATTCACTGGGCATGGTGATACACATTTGTAATACCAGCTACTTAGGAGACTGAGATGGGATCATAAGTTCAAGGCCAGCCTGGGCAAGATAGTGAGACCTTATCTCAAAAAATATAAAGGGCTGGGGATGTATCTCAGCGCTTTCTGAGTTCATCCCTGGGACCACAGAAAACAAAACAAAACAGTGAGAAGGTAGAGTTGCTTCCCTAGGTCAGGCCTGCCTCAGGTCAGAAGCTGAACCCATGGCTGGTGATGTAGCTCAGTGGTAGCCCATTTGCTTGGTATGTGTGAGGCAAGCACATGGGTGGGTTCCATGCCCAGCACCACCCCCCAGACACACACATGCAGGGACAGTTTTTAAGGAAGAAACTACACCCGGCAAGATTGTTTCCTCAGATAGTTGAGGGTGGTCCTGAGTGGGAGTTGTTTGTGTACCAAGTGGGGAGAGGATGTGACCCAGCAGGCTGTGGGGCTTTGCCTGAGAACAGATGCCCTGCTTGGAACCTGACCTCCCTGGGTAAGGCAAGCATACAGGCTACTAATGTGATGTCTTTCTTGCACTGTAGAAAAAGTTCTACGGTCCACAGAGACGGAAGTTGTTGTTCATGGGATTCATGCGCCTGGGTGTGTGGTGCAACTTCTTCCGGGCCTGGAGTGGAGGCTTCTCTGGAAACCTGAAAGGTGAAGGTGTCATCCTTGGTGGAGTTTTTGTGGTGGGACCAGGAAAGCAGGTAAATTCTTGGTGTTTTCCTTGTGGGTCAGTGGGTATGTAGGTCAAAGGCTGGGGAGAGGGGCTGACTTTTCCTATTTGGGGCTGACTTTTTCTATTAGGGGCCTCCTGGCCTTCCTTCCTGGACCAGCGAACATGAGGAAGGGAAGGGTGGGTAGTTGTTGCTGATCACACATTTGGTGTCTGCTGCATCACACACGTCATGCGATGGTCTGACGTAGTCTGATCGTGTTGCAGACACAGAACTTGGGACAGGAGGGGATGAGTGACAGCACCGGTGAGCACAGCTCAGTGGTAACACTGCAGGCTTGAGCCTAGGCCTTCTCACTTCAAGTTCTGTCTTCTGTGCTCAGACCAAAGCATGATTTTTATTCTCTTTGTGAATTATTCCTTTGGTGCGTTCCTAAGCCATCAAGGATGAATGATGGAGAAAGTGAAGAAGAGAGAAGGAAGGAAAACTGGCCTGATGGGGGAAAGTGGCAAGGAGGTGGGAGGGGACCACACTTTTCCCTGTGGAGGTCTTGGTGTTGGGACTGAGCCTGGAGAAGTAACTAAGCCCTCTGTAGATAGGTCATTGTGGGGCAGGGTTATAAGGACCCAGAGTCAGCCTGGGGATCCCAGAGGAAAACATAGAGAAGAGAGATGAGGTCTCTAGGGGCCTATGAGCAGGTATGTGGTGCCCCATGTGGTACCAAGAGGGGCAGTGCCCTCACAGACAGCTGTACAGCAGGGATGGGGCAGAATAGGTGCAAGCAGTGCAGGGAGGACAACCTGAGACCGGTGACCTGACTTCTAAGCCAGTCTGTCAACTTTGGTCATGATGTTAACATGAGAAGAAAGTGTTGTTTTTTTTTTGGTACTCGGGATCGAACTTGGGACCTTGCACTTGCGAGGCAGGTGATGGAACCACTGAGGTAAATCCCCAGCCCAAGAGTGTTTTCTTTATGTGGAAGTACAGGGCTGGTCTGCATCTCACCACCAATGTTGATAATTGCTCTTTCTCCAGTTTAGCAGAACTGAAACTGGGAATAGAAATCCTTGGATTTTAAGCTTTATTTCTTATCTCTTCCTTTTATATTTTGGTAACTGCTTTTGCTTCTCTTAGAACTTGGCATTAAATGGTGTTTAATAAAACCTATTTGCTCAATTTTTTGGTAAATAGATCAAAATGTCAGTGGTAATGGCTACCAGAGCATGCCTGCCTGTCTGGGTGCTCATACAGGACTGTCTTCCTCACAGCAAGTCTGAGATATCAAGAATTCTTGTTCCAATCTACATGGAAGGAAATGGGCCTAGAGATAGGAAATCAGTCACCCAGAGACACAGCTAGTAAGGGCTACGATGGAAATGAAACTTGAAACACAAATGTGTTTCACTCCAGAGAGCCTGTCATGCTCCTGCCCACGGACTGTCTTCAGAGGTGGCTCCCTGGGGCCCTTTCAGATGCCCTTCCATGTGGGCAGGCCACTTCCCCTTCCCATGCTGCACTGTGGTGTTCCTTCCTCGCTGGCTCTTCCTTCTCCTGGCCTCCAGGGCAGGGTTTGGTGTACCTGCCAGCCTTTTCTTGCCTAGCAGTGACTCACTTGGTGTTCATGGGCCCTGGTGGCACATTCCTGGTGTTGCTAGGTGTGTTGTTTGATTTTGTTGGTACTTCCTGGAACTCCTGGCTTTCCTCTGCCTGGGGGAAGGCTAACTAGGCTAGCTTAGTATTGGGACTTACCCGCCAGGTGCCAGGTGCCACCCAGTGGGGATATTGAGTTTTCATTTTGTTTTGTCCTTGTTTTTGTTTTTGATAATAATCTGAAAAGCATATTTAAAGAAGTATATGTGGACTATAGAAAATTTGAAGGGAGCAAAATGATAGTGGGGTCATTCTGCAAGTTGAGCCACCGCAGATGACCATTGGAACAGAGCTGAATGGCTTTAGCTTTGTTTATTTTCAGAAAATAGTGTCCTACTAAATAGATTTTTTTCTCTTTAGCAGTGTGTCTTGCACATTTTGCCATATTATTACATACTCTTCCTCAGTATTTTTGCTGCCTATATTATGCTTTATTGAGCAAGTAAATATGATTTCCTGATCCTGCTCCCTTGTAGTCACCACAGCATGGTGATTTTTATTTTTAAAGTTTTTATAGATAATAACGATGTGTTTACAGATTTTTAAAATTAAATTTATGAGTTTCCAGGTGTAATGGGTTAAAGAGCTTTTTAATAAGGATTACTTGATGCTGATTTCAAGCAGTAATAATATATGTATATAACTTTAGGGTAATTTGGGGATATCCTGTATCTCAGTGCATTTTCCTTCACTATACAGAAGAGTGGCCTGCGGTTTCTTAGGAAGATTGAAGAAAAGAGTTGGCTCTCCTTCTCAGCTGTCATTCAGCACCTGCCAAAGTCTCATCTCTTGAGTTCTGCTTCATGGGGTTTTCCTATTAACTTCATTCTGTTTTCTTTGGCTGCTATGTTCTTTTACCTCTCTCTCTTCCTGTTTATATCCTGGCTACCTCCCGTGCTTGTCATCTGTGAAGCCTGTCCTAACACCTTTGTCATAAGTAATCATTCCTGGCTTCCTGCTTCAGTGTGCTGCTTGTGTAGTACAAATACTGTGATGTGGCTTCCCAAGAAAACTGGACTCCATGGCAGGTATCTGGCCTGATACTGCTGTGTTCTCTGCTTCCAGGCATAGGGCTGGACAGACAGCTGGCACTCAGTGACTGTATCATGAATGAGGACTGACATTCCCTTTTGTTTCTTTTTAGGGCATTCTTCTTGAGCATAGAGAAAAAGAATTTGGAGACAAAGTAAACCCACTTTCTATTCTGGAAGCTGCTAAGAAGGTCAAACCCAGGAGTCTAGCTTCAGAGAACAAATGATCACATAAAGGGGGCCAGCTATGGCTAACTAGGGGCACTCACTTGTGTTGCTGGGAAGTTAGAAACCCACTTACACCATATTCTCACTATGGATTATTAATGCATTGTAGTATTGTTTTTAGTATAGGCCCAGTAAGGCAAAATAGGTCCAAAAACAAGACTGACAAAAATCTAAGAAACTAGTGAAGAAAAGACTTGGAAAATATGAGGCATAAAGTTGACTGCTGCACCTCACTACAAATGTGTGTTTGAGCACTGTTACTTGAAATTTTTATTTTCATACCTTCAAATACTAAGATAAGGTGGGGCTGGTGGGTACAGCTCAGTGGAAGAACACTTGCCTAGCATGCATGAGCTCCTGGGTTCAACCCCCTGTGCCACAAAAAAATAGAAATAAAATAAATGTTGAAATCTAAGAAAAGATAATGATTGAATTAAAGATTGGAAAATATAAGGCTTTTGGCTTGAGAGTCTTTTTTTAATGACTTATTATGCAATGTCAAAGTAATACTCATAAAGAAGTTGATGTGTAATCAGATAATTTGATAAAGGTAAATTATAAAGTGAAATATCGTCTTCCATTCTAGCCTCAAAGATTTGTGTTTCTAGAAGAGGTCATCATCTCTGACTTTAATAAAATTGTGCATCAGAAATCACCTGTATGCACACATTTTTTGATGAAACTAATAACAAAAATATTTACCATAATGTTGGCTGAAACTGAAAAAATCAATATTCTCCCCATGTTTAGAGTACGGTGGTGGGCTTTAGTTTGAACGATCAAGTGGTTTTAAAAATGATCAGAGACTTATCCTGTCATTCATGTTGGTAATTTTGCTGTCTTTCCTGGAAGAATGATTTTGGTATTTAAAATTGCTTGCTGCTTCCATTTCTGGCTTCCATTCTGGTTTGCTAAGTGGAGAGGAGAAAGGACATAAAGATAATGAAATATAACTTGATGCATTAACTTGTTACTGTTGAGTTTTGTCATGTGTGTAACCAGGGAGTCTACATCAAGACACCACATCAGCCCCTAAGTGTAGGAATCACATTCTCCCAGAGGACTGGCCCAGCCTGAAGAAGGAAACTTGTCATTCAGGAAAGCAAGAATAGAGAGGAGGTTGGAAGTTGAGTTGGGACAATAGGATAGGTGGGGACTAAGTACGCAGAGTCAATAGGGCCGAGTTCTTCAGGGCCTGGAGCAGGTCTGGGTCTGACATCATGTGGTGGTGGCTGCAGGGAGAGTACACAGACCCAGGCTAGTCTGGACTTTGGCAGCTTTTGAGACAACACCTTTCAGTGCCTGCCCAGGTGGACGTGATGACTTCTCTCCCTGGACTCCTGCTACTGATAGGATAACTCACAGCAGAGTTCTTTGGTGCCCAGATTACACTTGATGACTGAAACAAGCATGTTCTCTTACAGTTAAAGAAGAGCAAAGCCTGAGGGCCGTTACATCAACAGATGCATGAATAGAAACCTTATTGCATGGTCTTCTCTCTCCTGTTGGCATAGCATTGAGGAAGAGCACTGCATTGAGGCATGAGATGGGTTTTATTTCTAGTTTACTAGGACCTTAAAGCACTGACTCTCAACATTCCCTCATTGGTAAAAAATGGGTGTAAAAATTCTTCCCTACCATTCTGGGCTGATTATTAGAAGTTATTGAGGGAATGATGAATATTATAAGACAGTGGCTGTCCTACTTTATCACCTAAGGATCTTACTAAAATAGAAACTGTTGAAGACAGGTGTGGACACTAAAGGCAATGAAGACAGATTGTATGCCCTTTAGGAAACAGGAGCAACATGTCTTCAGTGTAGAACTGAGGTCAGCTTTAAACCTGCAGAAATGATGGGATTTTAAACAGAATCTCATTCAGCATAAGGAAGGGAAAGAGGTGACTCAAATAGGGTCAGAGAAATGGAAAACTACAGAAAGCTGGTGGAGGATGGTGGTCAGTGTGTTGAGGGTCTCAGCTGACTGACAGGTTTTTGAAGTCAGGCTTCTGCCTGCCCACAGAGCTTGGGAGGCAGCCCTCCCTTTCTTGATAATTACATCTTAGAGATGGCTCCCAGTCCTTGGCTCCCAGTCCTTGGCTCCCAGCTACTGGGTTATAAGAAATACATGTGTACCTCAAAGGGACTGAGAAGAGGTTTACAATTGTAATTTTACAAAGAATGTTTTAAGAAAAGGTAGGTTAGTAGCCTATGGTCAGGTGTTGGTTGGAACAAATGGTAAATTCTTTGAGCCTCCTTGAGTTTCCCCCTGGCAGGGATTCAAAAGAATATGTAGTCTTGAGCTGCTAGAAACTGCTGGTGTTTGTTCAATGTGTGTGTGTGTGTGTGTGTGTATTGGAGGAAGGCTGGACAAAGTCATTTGCCCTGAAAGTTTTGCAGCTGTCAAGACTCCAGTACAGCATCCTGGGATTTCTGTCAAGCTCTAGGTAATCCTAATGTTCTGCTGGGCCTGGGATCCCACCTAGAGAAGCAGGGCTCTAACGACAACCCCACAAATCAAAGGCATTAATCTCTGTTGACCTCGGTTTGAAGCTTCAGTAGTCTTTACAAACAGATTTTCTTTTTAATTTATTTTATGAACAAATTGAGAGTCCACAATGAAAACTTCCAAGAGAATGAACACGATGTCCTTTACTGTACAGCTGGAGGTTCTTGATCTTGAATACATGGTAGAATTCTCTGGGGAGGTTTTCTAAACTTCTGATGCCCGGACCCATTAAATCAGAATCTCTGGCATGGAACTCAGGCAGTAAATATTTCTTTAAGTTCCTGGATGATTACAATAAGCAGCCAAAGTTGGGAACCACACTAAAAATTCAGTGTCAAATTTGAAAGACCAGCAGTTACACCCCAAGAGCCCTTTCCAAGAGTCAGGCTGCCCTTGATCATCTCAAGTGAGTTGGGGGGGAAGTCTTTGGGTGGCAAGTGTCAGGGATGGAGCGGACGTGGTGGTGAGGGGACCCTAGCTGGTGCAGAACCTTCAAGGTGGAAAAGATTTGGATAGTAAACAGACACAGGAGAACTGAGGGGATTCTGTTAGGTTTTGGTTATCTAATTCTATGTCCTTTTCCCATGTTTGGACTTCTCAAAAGCACATCTGTGTCTATGTTCTCTGTCCCCAGAGCAGGGCCTTCCATTGTGGTGTGGACACATGGGTGAGGACAAGCTCCAGGGATTTGTGAGTACAGAGAGTGAATGAAATCAGAGCAGACGCTGAATATTTTTCCCCAGCCCTGGCTGCCTTCCCTCCACTGTCCTGGGTTGCTTATGGCCCATGGGACTGGGCAAGTGAGTATTCATGAGTTTACATTTGGAAAGAGAGGAAGGAAAAGTTGACTTTTTCTGGTTTAACCCCTAAATATTTTCTAAGCTTAAAGGAGAAGTGGTTGTTTGTGGTTTTGTTTGTTTTTAAAGAAATACCAGAGGATGATGGTGGGTACGACACCCAGGTTTGGTCAGGTGTATGAGATCCCCTTCTGTGTTATATAGCAGTGATCGGGGCCAACCCCACACACTAGCCAGGAGCAGGAGTTGGTTCTTCCCATAGAGCACAGGGTGAGATAGAATGTGTGTACTACGTGAGACAGGTTGGCCAGGGCAGTGTCTCTCACAAGATGGCATCTGGGAGGAACTAGGTCTTAGGAATACTGGCAAAAGTGCATACCAGGCAGAAAAAGCAACTGCAAAGGCCCCAAAGTGGGAATTGGATTGCTATGCTCACAAAATATTTGAGAAAGCAAGAATGACAAAAGTAACATGATGTAGGACAATGGCAGCCATGGTAAGAACTTCCACGATTACTGAGAGAGATGAAGTTCGATGGAGGAGTCTAAAGAGAGCAATGACATGATCTGATTTCCATTATTCTGGCTGCCTGGAGAGAGCAGACTGTAGAGGACTGAAGGTGGCACCAGGGAGACCACTTAGCCACTATAATGATACAGAGGAGGAAATGGGAAGAATCAGATGGGAACAGGCAGGCATTGGGCAGTCAGATGCCGAATGTACCTGAATACGAGGCTAAGAGGATTCCTGACCCATTGCATGTGGGGTAAGAGGGAGAGAAGTCAAAGATGACACCATGATTTGGGACCAGAACAACTAACTGCATGTAAATTTTGCATCAAAGTTAGCCAGAAGATGATGGGGTAGTGGAAGATTTTAATGTGCTACAGCAGCTACAAGGAATGACCCAGAGGTGTGTCAACTTGGATGCACTGAAACAATGCTAAAGAAAACAACAAGCTGGGCCAGGAATTTAGCTCAGTGGTTCCAGCTCCTGCTTCAAAAATGCAAGGTCCCAAGTTCAATCCCTGGTACCAAAAAAAGAAAAGAAAACAAGCTTCCGAATGACGTGTACAATAGGATACAATGTACACAAATGTTTAAGGTGTGCAAATGGTATCGTTTAGGGCTCCAGACATACTTAGTGCATAAAGACAAATATAGGATGATAAACAATGTGTAAACAGGACTGAGCCCCCTCTGGAAGTATGCTTTTAAAAATTACATTATTCAGGCCAGATCCTGGGCCAGTTAAGTCAGAATCTCTAGGGATGGACCCAGGCACTAGTATTCTTTAGAACTCTCTAGGGGGTTCTAGTATGCAGGCAAGGTGGAAAACCACACAATTGTGAAATCTTAGAGAAGCAAAGGAATTTTCCCCTTGTGTACCAAAACCTTGGTCACTGTCTAGGATTTAGGCAAGAGCCACCCATGACCTAATTTCTGTGATGTTCATCCAGGAAACATGAATAACCTCTCCCAAGAGGCAGCTGAGCCCAAACTGTAGCCTTAGCACTAGCAACTTCCTGTAAAAAGAACTCCTTGGAGAAATGGCGGGCTGTGGGCTGGGAACAAAATGTGTGCAAGATAAGTGTAACATCTTGTCATACCAGAGAGCAAGAAGGTTCTTTTGTTTTGGTTTTTTGAAACAGAGTTGTGCTAAGTAGGTCAGGCTAGGCTTGAACATGCAGTGATCCTTCTGCCTCAGCCTCCCTAGTGCTGGGATTACAGGGATGTGCCACCACGTCTGGCAGCAAGCAGGTTTTTAAAGACCACCAAGGGCTTGTAGAAAGGACAGACTCAGGAGACAAAAAGGCCCTCAGCTAAGACGGGATGATTTGGGCATCAATGAGAATTACTGCAAAGACACAAAATATATCAGACGTGTTTAAGGGTATGACCCTTTACAAAAAATCTTGGGATATTGCTTAAAAAAATTCATTTTGAAACCTGATAAATAAAGAAAAGTATTTACCCTGGCTTTGCTACTCAAAAGAAACCATAGTTGATGACAGAAGTGTCTCATCGCAGGAGTAGTAATTTGGACCTGGAACGAGTGATGATTAGAGTGGGGGTTCCCCTGGGGTAGCCAGTGGAAAAGGCCTGAGCCACTGAAGATGCCACTCTGGGCCTCTCCAAAGAATAGCTCC